ATAATGTTTCGTCAACACAGCCGTTTTTCCGTCCTGTTTGTCAGTTTTTTTTTTTCGTATACTATTCGTTTCTCGATGGTGCGTTGAAAAAAAAAAAAAAAAAAAAAAAAATAACAGAAATACACCATCGATAACACAATAGTGTACGACGGACATTACACCGTCTTAGGTATTCGACCGACCCGAAACGGTTGTTTTCTCTCTGTCTCTCTCTCTCGCTTTTTTTCGGTGCACGTATAGACGTATAATAATATATATATATATATAATGTGTACTCACACTCAAAAAAACGATACACGTCGACGACAATAATAAACGTGGGTACACCCCTACATCCTCTATATATACACGTTTATGGAAACGACAGTTTTTATAGTGACGGTTTGTGGCCGCCTGTCCAGAGCGCGGTAATGCGTATATATGCATTTTTAAACGCGTATCCGGGCGAGACCAAAGTGGAAAAATGTGTTTCGGCCCTTATTATTTATTTACCGTCCGTACGTTCCGAATTTCTGTCGTAGAAAAGCTTGCATATACCAGGCGATGTGTAATATGTATAGGGTGTCAGTCACGATGATATCGTCATCGTTATCGGTGAGCATTTTTTATGTTCAAGAAAGTTTTCCGCGTTCAAACGATCGAGTTTGGTCAACGGTCACTCTACCGCTCGCTATCGGTTACTCTACTTTCCAGTATATGGCTGCTAAAAATGACGGTCGTTGTTTAGGCCACATTTTATTTACCTGCTTCGTATAAAATATTTGATTATATTTTATTACCCGGGTATTCGGCCGCAAATATATTACTCAAAAATATACGGAATGTATAACATTTACAACATTACAATATGTATATAATTTTAACATTTTTTTTTTTTTTTACAAATATAAAACACAAATCTAGTTAGGTACGTGTTCAATTAATTCATAAAAAAGATTAGTCAAATAATAATAATAATTAGTGATCCAATCGCCGGATTCAGTAATACAAATTGTTTTTAAAATTTCGGGGGTCCAATTACCGGTTCTACCTGTTATTAATGCAAACGTTTTGTAGCCCAATTATCGTACATCCTTTTGAAAAAAGGTTCATTGTGACCCGATTCCCGGGCGCCCGCTTAGAGTTGGAATAAATGTGTTTGTATAATGAATTTTAAAATTGTATTTTATTATGCGAGTAATGATTTTTTCAAATGAAAGGGGATAGTAGAATGGGCGATAGCAGGATGAGGCTGAGACCAGGTAATTGCGGAAAGAACACGCGGTAAAATTAATATTCGCTAAAAAAAAAAATGGCCTATCAGGAAGAGGATACGATATGATATCGAGAAAGACGTATTTAGGGGCAGGCTAAGGGTATGATATATCCTGGTGACGTTTTTAAATATGTTTTTATAACATCATGAAAATTGTGTGCTCTCGCATTTTAATATAATATTTTGTTGATAATATTATATTATTATTAGGTTCTTTTATGTGTTGATATCTCATCTGATATTTATATATTTTGTACTAGTCAATGAAGGCTAAAAAGTATTCAATAGTTAAATTATACTTCACTGTCTTAGATAAATGATATGAAAGCTTAATAATACTTAACATGCGAATATGAGTAAGTGCACTGAACAATTAAAAAACTGTTGTGTATAAACAACAAACGATAATATGATACAGTTCGGTAAATTACTTAAGAAAACTAAAAAGTGTTCATTTATGTCTTGCTATCAGTTGAATACGCATAAAGTAAAAACAAATTTGTACTATTTATTTTTTTTTTTTAAAAAATTGATTTTTACTGCGAGGTCACCAAAATATATATATTACGCTGGCACAAAAAATCTGAATACTTTTTTGGATATCGATAACGCACGTTGGACATCAGTATCGAATACGATCATATTATACTCAAATAGTTCCGTAATCGGTTGTACAAGATAATTGCCTAAAAATTATGTATCTAATTTCAAGGTAAAAGTTTTACTATCAAGTCGTGTATGGTAAAACTAATAGCTATATATACATATACATACATATATTAACAATAATAGTTACATCATTTTTCAGTTCTTAGCCGGTTTTTTTTTTTTCAAGTGAACCAAACTTAACAGATAATAATTACTCAATCATATTGTTTTCAGATGGACGTCATTCTTTTGTCGTTCTCGCGTATCTGAAAATCGTTAATCCACAACGATTGAGATTATATTTTATTTTATCAATCATAAACTCATTGTTGTCAATTTTTTTTTTTACAATTCATCGTTATTTGCAACTGGTTAATGCCAGGCGTTTCGTATTATTATATTTATAACAATACTCAATACGTTTTGAGAACGTAACAGTCCAATTTGTGTTCAAAAAAAAAATAAACTTTTTTCATGGTGTCACTTGTCAAAAGTCATAACAAAAACGATGACATATTAATTCGAGGTTCACGTAATCATTATTGTATACTTGTAACTTTTAATTTTTCTGACATTCGCAATCCAAAATACGACAGGAATAAAATGATTCGAGTCATGTTATCTTCTAAAATTCATCGAAATTTACAGACTCACGACGACGGCTACGGCGAAAGAGAAGAGAGGATGTATAATCATGATCGTGGGTATATTCCCCCCTCCATATTAACTTAAAATAGAAGACTGTACACTTACTGTGGAATAAGACTCATTCATCACGATAATATGGTTTACTATACACGTTCCTTCCCGTTGAAAATCCCTTTTAGGACACGCGGCTGGCCAATGACCGACGACTTTTGCTTTGCATTGAATTCCACGCATACCAATTTCCAATACACGTGTATGTATGAAACAATGCGGGGTGGTGAGGTTTACTGCTAGTTATACAGACAATAAAATATTTTTCAGTCGATTTTTTTATTATTTTTTATTTTCGTCTTTGCGCGATAAACGTAAAACTTTTCACCGCCGCCACCACAGTTCGAAGCGGTGATTAATAGTGTGCGCTACCCTCGAAAACTCGTCGGTGAAATATATTGTACGTTATTATTATTGTTGTTATTGTTATTTTTCGAGACTATAAAACGACCGAGACCTCTTGTCCTATCTCGCGACTCGACGGTAGGCGTATACAACAATACGCATTTGATTAGTCGCTTTAATTTCGAGGTTATTTTTTTCCCCGTTTCCGCCACACCGTCCTGACCAGAAAAAACTAATACAAAATACTCCTCTCCGTTCCACTGAAAGACGCGTTATTAAATAATAATATAGTATTATTATTATTAAAAAAAACGCACGCGCGTTTTTCGCAAATTCCGGCGACAATGTAAATCATTTAAATTTGAATAAATCTAAAAGTTCGCAGCGCCACATCGTCGTCGTCGTCGCAGTTATGGCGGCGGGGTACGACCTCAATTCATAAAAATTATTTTCCATTTAGCGGCGTGGAGGTATTAAAAACGATGTCGTCGCGTCGTCGAGTCGTCGTAAAACTTATTTGTCATTTTAAATCCACGCGCAGATTACACTTTAATTTGTATGTTAATAATTGAACGATTATGATGAAAATATAAACGCGCGCACGCGTTCTCCGCAACTTAATCCAGCCGACGTCACATTGATAATGCGTCCATAATCCTAATGTTAAAAAAGAAAATAAAAAAATGATAATAATTATACTGCAAATAAAAGATTTGACCGATGACGTCGAAAAGGGTTCGTCGTTTTTTGAATAATACGCGTGTGGTTTTAGATCGTTTTTTCCGATAAAAATTAATTAGTTTTCTCTTTCGTTATATTAAAAAAAAAAAAAGTGGTCGTAAATACGGTTTTTTTTTTTTTATCAAAAATTAAAACCGAGTCGTTCAACTAAAGGCTTTGCACACGTTATATAATACGCGGTGCTGCTGCACAAACCCGGGGGGATTTCAGAGTTTTTACTTTTTATTATTAATATAATTTTTTTTTTTTTTAACCTAATAATTTTGACCCTTCTAAGTTCTGATGTCATTCTCGGTTCGCGACCTTCAACTTTTGTAAATTGAAGGGGATACGGTGCATTAACAAGATGAATCTGCATCCGTCTGTCTTCAAAATCGTTTAGGAGAAAGATAAAAAAAACCATCCGTCTATTAACAAAGTTCATCATTTTTTCGCCCAGAATTCGGTTGAACTAGATGAGTGATTTTTATCAGTAATCACTAGTATTTTCTGATTCTAGTCGACAGACTTGCATTGTTGTAGCACCGAATCACGTAGCGTTCATCGTTTAACTCTAAACTATGGAAAATTCTTTTTAGACTTGTTTTGCTGTTGCGCCGAACCCTTCGATTTCTCCGTTTATTGTGTTTTCAATATTTTAACAACGGTCAAAAGCCCGCCCGTCGTAACGTAAATTAATATAATACAAACCCAAGAACACATGCATCATATTCATAAACTTTTAAGTGGCCGGCCTCTAACGTGTGCGGTTCACAAGCCTTATAACCTGCTTACGTATGTATACCCGGTAACGTGAAAATTAATTTCACCTTAAACCCGAACTAAACTATTAACGAGATGATTGTACGAATTTTCTGAAAAAAGTTTATGCCTTAGCATTCATGTTATATAGGCAACCTTGAATTTATAACCACTACTATGGGATATACTAAAACACGAAAAAAAGTTTACCTAGGTACCTTCCTACACCATTATAGTGTTCAACGTGCGTTTCAAGGTGTGGCAAATTATCACTCAAAAACTAAGTCGCCGATTATTAGTTTGATATAGTTAAGGGTTAAAATATTAATCGTTTAAATGTACGAAAAAACAGTATACGGTTATAATTATGATATAATATTTATTAAAAAAGAAATAAAAACGTCTCTTAATCGAGTTCAAAATTGCAATAGTTGTTTTAAACTTAGACTTACATAATAAATAAGTAGCTTAACTAATATTGTGCAGCGCGAGGGTAACGATCCAAAATAAAATGATTTTAAAACCTTCGTTTAAAACGCCTAAGCCCAACGTTATTATACAAATTAATTGGGACGAAATTTTAATGTTTTAAACAAATCTCGCCTCGTCTAATAACAAATCACTTTAGTTATTAGACGAGGCGTGTATGTTCCATTTAAGAAATGATTTAAGAAATGATTCGTCTTTGATTATTTAATTTCTCTATCTAGGTACCTACCTATCTAAAACAACTGTGTTATATTTAGCCAACCTTGTGAGTAATTATGAACTTATTGGCACCAATCATATACCAAAACATCGAATCTGTTTGATTAACCCACAAAATATTTTTGTTTATGCCGTCCATTCGTACTATTCTATAATATCTATTCAAAAACAATCGATAGTGTTTGATAGTAAATTTGGGCGATTTGGTGAGAAAACAAAAATTAAGACACTTAATTGTTTGAAAAGCATAACTGTTATCTTTTGTCCCTCTAATTTTACAGGATGAAACCACTACCTACTTTTGGTTTTCAAATAGCAACCTATATTTGAAAAACTATAAATACGTGAATATTTAGTTTAAATATGGTGTTGAAGTTTTTAACTTCTGTCTACTCGTTAACGAGATGTTCTGCTTTTGTGTTTGATAGGAGAATAGAGGAGTATTATTTGGTGTTCATTTGATTAGTGCTCCACCACTTTCTCTACACCGATAAAATGGCAAATTTTATAAGTGGAATATATAGTCAACAGGTGGATGGAAATTTAAAATTTAAAAAATTATTTTAACTAAAACTTTTTTAGTTTTAATATGTGTTGCAATTTGAAAATCAATGCGGTTAATGGTTTCACCTCAAAAATAATGGTAACAAATTTAAAATGTAATGTAAAATTTTAGAACACTGTTAGTTTCCTTAATGTTTTAAAAGCAAATTCTAAAAAGGTTAACGCTCCGAGATAATTAAGGTCTCACTCAATGTCGAACTCCCTGTATAAAATAAAAATATTTACCGGAAAATTTGACGAAACAGTTGTATTTTGAACATTTAAGACCGCTGACGACTATCATTAAGTATACTGTATGGCTATCTGATTTCCTACAATATTATGATGAATCAAAACGGTCTTCAGTATTTAGACCAGATTATAGGAGAACCGAAGGGCAGACAATGTTCGTAAAAATAAAATCGTGTGTTCTGTAATATAATGTTACATAATACAATCTGCGTGCACGTGTTTGTATAATATAATACATTGGACGAGTGGCAAACGTCTTATTATTATGTAACGTTCTTCGAGGGGTTTCTATGCTATTCGATTTTTCATACACTTAGACGAACATAGTAATGATATGAGTACGAGAAAGTGATAAATATAAACATCACGGTTACTTCTTATTTTCCGATATTTTGATTTCGAAAAATAATATATTCCAAGACGGGATATTTTTGTTTTTAACATTTTGTTTGATACTCGTTCATTATTTTTCGCTGTTGACCGGTCTACGAAAATGTGAGATTCGAAAGGTTATCGTTTTACACTAGTATTATAAATAATTTTTTGTTTTATTTTCACGTTAGTATGGATTATTTATTGTCGTGGCACAATTAAGATTTTTTTTCGAAAGGGCTGTCCGACTCATTAAAATCCTCTCCCTCTCTGTAACTACTTGTAATATATCTGACTACGCTACTGGTATCCGTTCGACAAACTGAAACACGCTTATTATACACAGAATTATAGACACAATTCGTACATAATTTTTGATATTATCAAATGTTAAGGGATTCAAGGAGGGTTTCCAGGCACCCAAACCTCCGCCTTGGTCACGCCACTGATTTATTGTACTCTATTCATATATAATATTTAAAATAACAAGTTTTTTTTTATTTATTACGCCATCTACCTCAACAAAAAAAGATTCAAGTCGTAACTTTCAGGTCATATATTCAAGGTCGTACCTTTACTCATCCGAAAATATTAGATTAGATTTGATAAAAAGTAGACACGACCTTTTTCGTTGCGGCAGGCGATGCAATATAATAATATACAGAGAAAAAACGAGTTTTTTTTTTCTTTTTCATTTGTTTTCGTATACGTTCATTGCATACCGATCGGCGCGGCGATCATATCATTTTTGTACCATCTTTCGTCGGTCGTTAACGATGGTTCACGATAAAAACACGGACTTTTTATAAGTTAATTCTGTTTTTCGATATCGGTTTCGTTAACATTTTAAGTCGCATCCCATTTTAAAAGTAATGTTTGACCGGCTTCACCTTGTTCTCTCACCCACGGATCATTTTTATCAGTTTAATCGTTTTATTTTTTTGTAAATTTATGTTTCACATAAATCATTTTTTTACATATTTTTCGAACTTAAAATTTCAATATTTAGACTATATAATACACAGTGAAAACGTTTTCAAAATGATTAATTATATAATGTAATTTTTAAAAATAAAAAGTAGCCTAATTATATTGAAATAATTATTTATTTAAATTTGTTAATATGCCTATTAAAAGCAATTTCATTCCAATAGAAAATAATGTGATACAATTGTAATTAAATAATTCTTTGTTAACCACAGTAAATATAATTAATGTTGTTCATTAAATTAAAATGTACGATTACAAAATTAACATTAAAATTTGTATAGTTGTTCAACGTTGCAAAACTATTTAAAATCGAATAATTATAACCTCACTATTATTAGGAAATTTTAAGGGGAAATTTTTATAGACACCATTTGACATTGTTGGTTTTGACAAAATCAGACGTCGATCATAAATTCTTCCTTTCGATTAAACTCAACAGTCAATATAGTATCATTAGCGTCACGATTATGATTCACACTATATACTGTTGTGTTAGGCATTTGCATATTGTTATTTATTTTGGTACATATCTTTTTTTGCACTAGTTAAAAAAATATTGATAATATTAAAAAAAAATTTGGACGGTATACATATTTTTAAAAAAATGTGTGATATGACAATAGTCATATATAAATATTTATATATTATCTGTCTATAAAAAAGTCCAGTTTGTTACCACGTATCAGTACGTGGTGTGTAAATTTATTGTTGACGATTTTAATTTTTTTAGGTTCTAAGTGAAGCAAGATATATATTAGGTATTCACATTTATTTCACTAAAGCGTATATTTTTTTTTCTTTTTGTGAATAACTTTTCTATCAAAATTCCTACACCAATCGAAAAATAACGAATTACATTTTTGGTTCCTTTTTAGATCTAGATGTTGTATTAAGAAAGTTAATTTAATTTTTCAAGCGGTTTTTATAATAAATTGGAAAACCCAGATAAAAATGCTTAAGAAAAATTTACAAATTTACAGCGATAAAAGTTTCATTATTTTTGATTTTGTTTTTGTACTATAAACTTTGCATTAAAATTCAAATTTATTATATTTTCTAATTGAAAATGTCACCTAATTGATGCGTAAAAAAATCGTTAGTTAATTTTTTGTTTTATTTTTTAAAACCGACAAAAAACGCAAAAAGGCAAGAAAATGTAGGTATTAATGGTTTGATTATTTTTGATTAACTTATATCCTTATATCTTATATCTCTCACCTTTGTCAAAACATTCTAGACATTTATGAGCTAATAATAATATGTTAACATTTTGTTTTAGTTTTCATTAGGTTTTATGTGAATACAATTATTTTATAAATAAAAATGCTCAAAAATTTAATACGAGGTATTTAAAAAAAAAAAAAAATAAAAAAAAAAAAAAAAAAAAAAAAAAAAAAAAAAAAACGGTAAAGTTGAAATTTTGAAGAATTTTAAATTTCAAATTTTAAGTTACGGCATTTGAAAGATATTTAATCGACCTTTGTTAGCAATCATTTTCCGTTAAAAATAATTTTATCGTTTACTACAGGTATAAATTAAATTTTTTGTACGTATTCTAACTTTCTTAATATGTGAGCTGAAACAATAGCAAACTCCAGTATCAACTCTCTTTTTTTTTTTCTTTTGGTTACCTCGAAATCGTTCGTCTATAATAGTGACGTCATAAACGCAACAGCTAGTGTGTATGCACATTGCACATCGCCATTTCGTATATTGTTATTATTATTATTGCACACTACAGTAGGAATTCGTATGATTATTATTATTTGTCCACTCATTACGAGGCGTTCATGCATATGCAATTTCGGTACTCGAGTGTGTACGAGCAGATAAGGTGGCAACACACAACATGCGCGGTTAGCAGAGTAAATGATAGGAGAGGAAGACGGCCGTGTGCACCGCTACTGTGGCGGCCGTGCTCATTGTGTCATGTGTGGTCGTATTAATATTTTTTCCCCCCTCGATTCGTCCTTATAATACTATAATGGTATGTGTAGTGTATGTATGATATTATTATATCGTTGTATTCGACCCGGACCGCTTTTTTTTTTGTCCCGTTATTATTTTAATCCGGAAAGGAACTGCCGAACGAGGGAGAGAGAGCGAAAAAATATCAAACACAGAAATACGCGACGTCCTGTGCAAGCGACGACGAGATCGCCAAAGGGCTTAAAAAAAAAAAAAATACAAATGAGAAACCTCAAAAAAAACGTCATAAATACATGACCACGAAAAACGAAAGATTGCAGAATTAACCCTTGGACCATAATAATAAAATTGTGTAATAAGCAAGAGAAACATCAAAGTACTGTAGTGCCTAACAATTGGATATATAGGTATATATTATAGTTTACGAATTTTCAAATAAATAGTCATTATAATAGAAAAATGTAAGAGTAAGAGTATCCTTCTATAAGGATTTATAAAGAAATAAAACACCTTATATATATATAAAAAAAAAACAGCAGCGGTCAGAGTAAATTTACCCCGACCGACTTCTCATCGGTACATTAATTTTTTATTTTGTTGTTGTTCTAAAATAGTTTTTATTCCTAGATTGATTGTATTACATTTTAGTCTTAAGAGGTATTTAAAATTCAGCCTCACCTGTGAAAACATGTAATTTGAGCATGCCATTTTTTGGGGAGGGGTATAAAAGTTTAAATCCCCAAAAAGCATATCCTTATTATTAATATTAAACCGCGGAGATACAAAATTTCATCTCTTGGACTTCATTTGATAAGTCTTTAGGGGTATAAAAAACTAAAAAAACAGTCTCCTCAACTACAACCTGGTTAAATTCAG